GAGAGGGAGAGAAAGAAAGAAAGGAATAGAAAAAGGGAGAGAAAAAGGAAAACACGTGTGTGCACACGCCAAGAGAGGGAACAGAAAGGAAGAAAGATGGCGACGGAGAAACAGAAGTCTCTAGGAGTGGGCGTGGCTTGCCCCTTAAAGGGACCAGACCAAAAGAATAACAGCCATGTTCATTCATTTTAATGTGAGCAATGTTGCTTTCACAGCCTCTCCAGATACTGTTCGCTGCTACTGGACACAAACTGTGTAGTCACATGACTTCCTGAACCCCCGGCAAATGAGAGGAAGGCAGCAACGGTGGCAGAAAATGGTGAGGAAAAGGAAAAGTCACAAGGCACCTAGAATCCAAAGAACAAACACCCATTAGACAGGGCCTTTCACAAACCTGAGTGGGACCCAAAAGAGTTGAAAATAAAATGACGGCCTTGAAGAGTCTTCCTCGATAAATTACATTTACAAAAGCAAGAACTATATACACAATTAAGGGGGGAAGTGATTTTTTTTAAAAGATGTGCAGCTTAAAAGAATGGTATCAGTTGTTTATACTACATGCCCCACAATGTCTGAGAGATGTGATATTAGTTTATACATGAGCATTGCCTATAAAATGCACAAAGTAATTCATATGGAAAGAGCATAGTGTCTTTTCCATCCACCAGTGATTGGAGACATAAGAATCCTCCTGGTGGAAAGCACTCAGGCTAGCTTCCTTCCTTCTAAGAGCACAGCCTTCTGAGTGGTCACATGCACTGATCAGCGGACTCAACCGATGCAAAACCTTTTGAAATGGCAGGAGAAGCAGAGACCAAAACGCTCCCCGCCCCATCTGTTTTTCTCAAAATGAAGTTTGTGTTAAGAACAACAAATGTCCTAGAGAACTTGCTTCAAAATGCAAATCCAGAGTCCCAGCTGAACAAGAATCAGAGTCTGTGGGGGAGAAGGGTTGAGCCTGCACCGCACTGTAGCAGTTCTGTGGGTGTCTGGACAATCTCCCATTGCTGTATAACCACACCCTGAAGGGCAGGCTCAGCCACGCAGTCAGGAAGCCAGGTCTGTGACTGAAACTTCCCCCTCCTGGTGTCCAACGTGTCCTGATTTGGTCATTTCTCATCCTCCTCAGTAGATGACCTAGTACTTTGACAGTATACATGCAATTCTTAAAAACTAAAAAAAATCTAATTAATTCTAAAAAGATGAAGATTTCTAAGGATTTGTTTTTTATTATTTTTACATAAATGCCTATGTATGTTTGCGTGAGCGGACATCATATGTATGTGGATAACTCTCAGAGGCCAGAAAAGGGTTTCAGATCCCTTGCAGCTGGAATTACAGGAGGTTGGGGTAGGTTCTGGGAACTGAACTTGAGTTCTCTAGAAGGGCAGAAAGTGCTCGTAACCACTAAGCCATCTCTCCAGCACCAGCTCTGTAATATTTTTTATATATATTTTATTTTTCTTTTTAACTATGTGTATGTGGGGAAGGGGCATGCACACGAGTGCAGTACCCTCAAAGGGCAGAAGAGGGCATTAGAACACCTAGAATTGGAGTTACATATGGTTGTGAGTCACCCCAAGTAGTTGCTAGGGCGATTCTCAACTTGTGAGTCATGACTGATGTGGGACTCCCCTCTGTATGCTTTGAGTATATTTTATTTCCATTGGTTAATAAAGAAGCTACTGTGAGCCTATGGCAGGGTAGAATAAAGCCAGGTGGGAAATCCGAATAGAGATATATGGAGAAAGTAGGCAGAGTTAGGGAGAAGCCATGTAGCTACCGAAGGACAGAGATGCCGCCAGAACCTTTACCAGTAAGCAACAGCCTCGTGACGATATATAGATTAATAGAAATGAATTAATTTAAGATGGAAGAGTTAGCTAGGAATATACCTAAGTCATTGGCCAAGCAGTGTTGTAATTAATATAGTTTCTGTGTGATTATTCAGGTCTGGCGGCCAGAACAAGCAGTCTTTGCCTACACAAGATCATCAGAAAACACAGATAGTTAAATTACAATTTATAACAGTAGCAAAATTACGATTATGAAGTAACAAGGACAATAATTTTATGGTTGGGGTCACCACAGCATGAGGAACTGTACTGAAGGGTCGCAGCACTAGGAAGGTTGAGAACCCCTGCTGTAGACGCATGGGCTCAAAAGTACTGGCTGGCAAACACGCACGGCAAATAGAAGAATGGGGACAGTTCTGAATTTGTTGTTGACACATAAAAGTTAAAATACTTCTTCTCCTCCTTTTCCTCCTCCTCCGCCAGTTCCTGGAAAGGCAAACATCACAAGCACCACAGAAAGCAGCCATGTGGCCAGCTGCAGTGGCTGGGGCTCAGCAGCAGCCTCCCCACCTTTAACCAGGCACGTCCTATAGGGTATGTGAGGTGGCCTTAGGCCACCTTACTTACCAGAACTGTTGTCAGACCCCGCACACTTTTGCACCAGCCACCCCAGCTTCAAGGAATGCAGCACGAATTCAGTCTCTCTGCTTCATTCTCTTAGTGAAAATTCCCCCGGCAAAGACTCTATCCAGCCTCGCACATGTTAAGGAAGAAATCAAGAACTGGCTGAAGCAGACAGCTGCCACAAGCTTGGAGGTCAGCTTGGAGTATACAACAAGCATTGGGCCAGCCTGAGCTGCAATAGTGAGGTCCTGTCTAAAATAAATGAGTAGATAAGAAGTAAAATAAGAAGAAAGAAATCAGAAAATGTATGCAAATGACCCAGACAGTAGGCATGCCTGAGCAACTTTAAAGGTAGTGAGTGATCTCAGGACTCCACATTCAGAGACTCTGATTTGTTGATCGGGGTGCACCTTGCACTGTGAGATGGAATGAAGTCTCCCAAGTGACCCTAACAGGTGGTTAAGGAAGAGAACCCCTGGTCTTGTGAGCTTTTTAGTGCAGAGAGCTGTATTTACTCCAACATCATCCCCCAAGTAAAAAATGCTTGCTGCTCTCATCCATAATAATTCACTTACTTTTGAAAAAGGAAAATTATTCCAATGCTGTTTGCTAACTGGAAAACAAGGTCGAAATATACTCTGACTTCTACCCCTCGGTTTCCTTCCAACGCAACGGCAGTGTAAAATGCTGAGGAAAGGAAGGGAAATTATCCCAGGAGACAAAACGCCTGCAGCACACATAGCTCACACACAATGAGAGGAGGCTCACGGTGGCAGGCTGGCATGAAAAAGTACAACTGCTTTGAAATTCATCAATGCACTAAGCAGAGAAAAAAAACATTTCAAATAGTAAAAGAGAAAAAAGGGAACAATTTCCCTAAGTCTTTTCAATAATGGCCTAATTTTTATCTTAAGATGAATTTCAAATTATTACTTCCTTTCAAGCTTTCTCTTAGATGGTGTGCATTTATATTTTGGCTTCTCATCATGGCAAATGCAAACTAATGTCATCTGAATTGCAAACACCTAAGACCATCTACATCACCGCCGAGAAGCTGATGCCCAGGCTAGGGATGGAGCTCCACTGGTACAGTGCTTGCCAGCATGCACGGAGCCCTGAGTTCAGTCCTCAGCACTCACCCGGCATCCCAGCACTCTGGAGACAGAGGATGAGGAGTTCAAGATCATCTTTGGATACGTAGAGAGTTTGAGGCAAGCCTAGGCTACATCAGACCCTATCTCAAAAAATAAATAAATACATACATAAATACATAAATACATAGATAAATGTTCAGAAATCATTTCAATAATAATGCAACCTATTTAGTACTTTTATAAACCATCTTAGGTCTGTCCAATAGCCTCATTTACGGTCATCACCTCATTGCACAATTTTTATTAAATTAGCTTTGGAAAGGTTTAAAAGTGATGTACACATGCACTAAAAGATCAGTGGCAAAACCTGGGTTTACTCCACACCCATCTGACCGGCTTCAAACCTGTGTTCTTCATGCTAAACCCACAGCCAGAAAGAACCATGCCTGGTTACTCCCACTTTACTAGGCAAAAGCAGAACTGTAGAGTCTGTGCCACATCACAAACAGGTTAGTGGGAGCCACAGGCAGCCCCTGCTTTATGTTCCTCACTCCATGCTCCAGGTTCCTGCAGAGGAACAAGTCAGAGTTCACAGCTACCTTCTAAAAGCTGTGCTGACTTCTGAGAATGTCAGCCATTCATGCGCATGTGGCTTAACCCACCAAGGTATACATGTGGCTAGCTGATCATGGTATACTTGTAGCTTAGTTAACTATGGAATCCATGTGGTTAGCTGACCATGGTATACATATGGTTAGCTGACAATAGTATACATGTGACTTAACTGACCAAGGTACACATGGGGTTAGCTGACCATGGTATACTTGTAGCTTAGTTAACTTCGGCATCCATATGGTTAGCTGACCATGGTATACATATGATTAGCTGACCGTGGTATACATATGCTTAGCTGACCGTGGTATACATATGCTTAGCTGACCGTGGTATACATAT